AAATTGAGCCTCAGTTGGTATTTTTCCAGTTCCCCCAAAGGGTGGCCTGAGTACCCCTTCCAGACCTCTGAGGGCAGACTCTGCCTGGGTGGCTGTGACACCCCCACAGGCACTTGCCACCCCCAGCAGGGCCTCCTGGCACCCATTTCACAGTTTCAGGAATCAGGCTATTTGGTAGCACTAGGTGCTCCCATCAGCCTAATGCCCAGGGAGGCATCAGAGCCTGGTACTTACACCATCAGCTGTCCAGTAGTTCCAAACCTTGATCCTGGCCAGGCCAAAGGCATGCAGCCTTCTCGTGTTGCGGATAACGAAAAAGAGCTGCAGCGGCGGGTGGAAGGGGCAGGTCCACAAGGAGGAGTCTTTCTTGCTCTGAAACACCAGCAAGAGCGGGGAGCAGTCAGTACATGTCTGCCCAGGTGCACCAGCAGTGACTCTACCCTAATAAGACCCCAGAGAGGGCTGAGGGCGGGGAGTCAGGCCCCTTCTCCTTCACCAGGTTAGGGAAGTTTTCTGCCATTATTTCTTCAACCACGTTCTCTATCCCTATCTCCCTTTCTGCCTCTCTGGCACACCTACTATTCTAATATTGTTACATTACATGTTGTCCCACAGCTCCCTTAAGCTGTCCTCCTGATTTTTGTTTTTCCTCTTTGGTTCTCTGATTGAGTGATTTTTTTCAACTCTGTCTTCTAATTCATTGATTTGATCCTCAGCGTCCCCTAATCTGCTGTGTATTCCTTCCAATGTGTTATTTATTTGTGCTATGTCATTCTTTATTTCTGTTTTCATAGTTACTATATCTTTTCTCAGGCTGTTGAGCATATTTACCATCATTTTTCTGAACTGTATATCAGATAAATTTCTTATCTCCATTTTGTTTAGCTCTTCTTTTGGAGAATTCTCTTGTTCTCTTACTTGGGGGCTGTTTCTTTGTCTCCTCATTTTGGCTGTTTTTTTGGGTTTGTGACTGTGTATTAAGTAGATCTGCTATGCCTCTCAATCTCTAGTGCAGGACAGTGTCAAACACTGTTTCTGACTAATTAGATCAGGCAAAGACTCAAAGCCCCCAGAGACTGCTTTTGCCTACAGACTGGTAGGATTCCGACTTGAGTGGCCCCAAGCAATCATCCTCAGGTGTGGTGAGAGTTTTTTTTTTCAACAGGGTGGGGCAATTGCTTCTGCCTGGAGGCTGTTATTCTCTTAATGGTCCTCGGAAACTCTGCACTGTGGCACAAGGTGTTTTCTAGTAGGGTGGGTCAACTGTCCTCCCCCAGGCAAAGCTGCCTGTATAGCAAATGTCTGCATGAGAAAGATGACACAGAGTGAGGGAATGACTCAGCACAGGAAACTGGGGTGTCTGCCTTCTGAGCTCTTACCCCAGAGCCCCCAATCCTGGCTTCTGCTCACACAGCTCCAGTCCACTCTGCCCTCCCTCTGCCGGAGCACAAGATAAGTGGCTCCACAGGAAATTTTGTGTGTTGGCCCTTTAAGAGGGTGCCTGAATTTCCAGCCATCTCTCCCTGGCAGACAGCAACCCCACTACTTTTCACAGCCAGATATTATGAGGGTCCCCTTCTCAGTTCTGGTGCTCTCTGCTGGGGGCCCAGCTTGGGGATTAGACCCCAGAGTTCTCAGTGGCAAACCCCACAGCTGATATATCTCTCTGGAACTTCAGTTGCTGTCTGTGGATGCCCGGCCAGCCCTTTCCCCGCTCCGCCCCTCCTATCAGTCTCTATGCAGTCTCCCTTCTCTACAGAATCCCCGGGTGGGGGTATGTCTCCAATCTCTCCCCACCTGGACTGACCCTCGCCCTGGCTTAAAGCTGCCATTCGGGCCATCAGACTGAATTTAAAATGCAGGGCTTTGCTGTGCTCGGCCTTGAGGAAGCACTGAGGGCGGGGGCTCTAGAGGGAAGGGCAGGATAAGAGCCACCACTTGCCTTATCTGATAAACCTGGCAAACAGTTTTATTTTCTCTTGTAAAACCTTGTCAAATTAAAAACATTTTAAAATAGAAATCAACTGGCTCAGGCATTTGTTGGGATGGGGCCGTGACACTGAGCACGGGAGTCCTTCTGCCCCTCTTAGGACCTGAGTGCCCCTTCCAGCAGCCAACGGCCAACAGACCTAGGCCACACACAAGGCCAAGGGGCGGAGAGCAGGAGAGCCTCCCTGTCATTCTCCTTCACACCAACAAAATTCTGTGCTGAGTGCTTTCGGTGCAGGTGGAAAAGCCAAATCAGGGGACTTCTCTCAGCTCTAGTGGCCTCTCCTGTCTCTTCCAATGCCCCCTGTCCTCTGTCCAGACCAAGCTCTCAGCTGCTCCCAGACATCTCCACACCGCTCAGCCTCTTCCTGTCCTCCTCACCCTGGGAATTTCAGCTCAAATGTGCTCTCGCCCCCTTTCCCCCCCGCCCTCGAGGCATCGCTCTCCCTCCAGGGGTGCCTGCAGCTCCCTGCAATGCTCGAGGCTAGCCTTCCCCTAGGGGCCCCCCAATGACCTGCCTTCAGGTCCATGGCCCTCCCCCCCCCCCCACTCAGTTGGGAGCTCTTTAAGGGAAGTGGCCGCCTCAAATTCACTACAGAACCCTTCACATTCAGCACAATTCCTTGGCACATCATAAATGCCAAAAAAAACTTTGTTGAATGAATCAATAAATGGATAAGTGACATTTACCTCCTAATATCAGTCCTCTCATTGAAACTTTACAAAGACTGTAAACTGAATTTGGCCTACACAGCTATTTTATTTGGCTCATGAGTGTTCTAAAGAAAAGGCACATTCGCTGCCAACCATTGACAATGGGGAGGATTCCGCTCCTCAGGCTGCATTCCTGCTTCTCTGCAGACTTGAAAGCCGGTGTGACAGCGCGGGGTCCTGACACCCGTAGGTGGCCCCAGTCCCCACCACTCCCTACCGTTTCACACCCGCTTCACTTCCCTCATTATGCCTCTGCCGGGACCTGCAGGCATTTGAATTTATGGTCTCTGCTTAGGGGCTGAACAATTGCCAGTCCCATGCGCCTATAAGCCACCACCACATCCCTGACACTGGCTGAAGTTGTCCCTTTTATTGATAGGAGCATCGCCCCAGATTCCTGTCACCAGGACGGAGCCTGCTAAGTGACAGAGCCGGGGAAGGAGATTGGCTGACTGGGTTTTGCCGGCCCCGGGAGGTGGAGGCCCCGCTCCAGCTGCAGGGACGGACAAAGGCGGCTTGTTCCAGTGACAACAGTGCCTTTCAGGAGGGCGGAGGCTGCTTTTGTTGAGGGGGAGAGATGAGTTCAAGGGGTTCTGACTTGTTCTGGCAAGTTTCTCAAGCTTTGCAAGGACTTCCAGTGCCCTGGCGGCTGCGAGGGCTCAGGATAGCACGTCTGACATCCAGGGGGTGGTCTCACCCCTTCGCTGAGCTGGGCCTAAACTGGGTCACTGCGGCTGCTTGAAAAAGGCAGAGACTGAGGCCGACTCTTGGGCTGCCATTGCTCTCCCTCACTTTCTGTCAGCAGGAGGAACAGCAGGAGCGCTAAGCGGGAACCTAGTGCTCCAAGTTGGAGAACGCGAATCCAGAGGGAACTCCGAGCCCTGTTAGCAGCCCAGCTTCTGATGTTTCCTTTCACAGAGCGGAGAGGAGGGCTGGCGGGGGCTGCTGGCGACTGACCCACGGTGTGCTGGGCCAACCCCAGGTGCCGGGCGGCAGGGAGAGCGTCTGCGCCCGCCCATCACAGGGGGTGAGGCCGGCAGCAGGAGAAGCAGGGCCCCTTCGCTTCGCGCTGCCACTGCTCTCTCACGCCTGGGAGGCGAGTCTCTGGCACACACCGTGCCCGCTGCACTCTGCCAAGTGGTGGAGTGCGGACTCACACCCAGGCTTTTCTTCATTAATTCGTTTGTCTTAGTCGGGATTCCCCAGGAGCAGACCCCGAGGCAAGGCTTCCAGTGGAAGGCATTTATTCAGACGGAAGGAGACGAGTGGAGCATGGGGAAGTGAGAGGGGAGAGGCAGCCCATCGTGTGTTACCAAGCCAGCCACTCCTGTGGGCCCTGGAGCTCGGCCCACCTGGAGTCTGGAGCCGTGTGGAGAAGCCCAGAGGGACTCCCCCACAGGACAAGGGAGCGGGGTGCACTCTCAAGCCTGCTCTTCCCCACCAGCTGGCACCTGCTGTATGCGAGGCAACGTGGGCCCTGGAGGCCAGAAAAAATCCTCCTTCAGAGCAGCATCAGTGCGGGTGGCCTTAGGGGCACTCATCAGACTGAGTGCCCCTAAGTGGGAAGGGCAGGGAGGTGTCAGCACTGAGCTCAGCAGGCGCTGAGGGGGACACGGGTGGGGCGGGGGTGGAGTCTGGCCCACCAGGTCCCAGCTCTGTGCTGGTAGGGGAGGGAAACAAGTGAAAACACAAGAAAAAACACAGCATGGATGCATTTGATGATGAAAACAAGAGAGAATGATTAATGGCCAGTGGAAGGGCTACTTTAGAAGGCACGGTCAGGGAGGGCCTCCCTGAGGAGGTCACTTTCTAACTCCAAGACAAAGGTGCTTTCTCTTCCGGCTTAACCCAATGCGGACGCACCCGCCCGCAGGGAGATGCTGACGGCCCTCGGAAGTCAGCCCAATTTCATAAAGCATTGCAATCAAAAAGGAACGAACTACTGATATACACAACGATTTGGATGGATGTCAAGGGCATTATGCTGAGTGAAAGAGTCCGTCTCAAAAGGTTACATACAGTAAGCTTCCATTTACTTAGCATTCTTGAAATGACAAAACATAGAGGGAACAGATTGGTGGTCACTGGTGTTAGGGACAGGTGTGGGGAGATGTGACTAAGGGTTGCACGGGAATTCCTCTGTGGTGATGGAGCCATTCTCCACCTCAGTGTGGTGGCAGTTACGGAAACCTACACGTGATCAAACTGCAAAGACACACACACACACACACACACACACATACACACACACACACGAGTGTATGGAGGTCTGCACATTATGCCAGTGTCAACCTCCTGGTCTGACCGGGGTCTGTGATTACAGAGGATGTTATCAGTGGGGAAGCTGGGCAAGAGTGCCTGGGATGTTTCTGTTCTTGGAAAAGAAAATTGAGATACAATTCACATATATAAATTACCACTTAAAAAAAAAAGAAAAAGAAAATCATCACTTCAAAGCAGCGGTTCTCAACCTGTGGGTCGCGACCCCTCTGGCGGTCGAACGACCCTTTCACAGGGGTCGCCTAAGACCATCCTGCATATCAGATATTTACATTACGATTCATAACAGTAGCAACATTACAGTTATGAAGTAGCAATGAAAATAATTTTATGGTTGGGTCACAACATGAGGAACTGTATTTAAAGGGCTAGGAGGTTGAGAACCACTG